GTTGGAAGATAGGCTACTCGGATTTGCAAAAAGAATCTGGTAGTCGCATGCATTTTCCCAAGCATAGGCCGATTATGTCGCATTTTTTTTCGTATGGCGGCAAAATTTGGCGGTTTTGAGGGCGTCGAGCATTCGTTCGTGCACCAATCAAAGCCGGAATTGTCTTGGAAGGTGCGTCGGAAGATAGGCTACTCGGATTTGCAAAAAGAATCTGGTAGTCGCACGCATTTTCCCACGCATAGGGCGATTATGTCGCATTTTTTCCGTATGGCGGCAAATTTTGACGGTTTTGAGGGCGTCGAGCATTCGTTCGTGCACCAATCCAAGCCGGAATTGTCTTGGAAGGTGCGTCGGAAGATAGGCTACTCGGATTTGCAAAAAGAATCTGGTAGTCGCACGCATTTTCCCACGCATAGGGCGATTATGTCGCATTTTTTCCGTATGGCGGCAAATTTTGACGGTTTTGAGGGCGTCGAGCATTCGCTCGTGTCACAATAAGAGACTGGAATGACTGTACTAACAGAAGGATGGATACAAATAGGAAACCCTAATCCAGTGTACCCCCTAAGGTATCACCCACTACTGCCTACAATCATATAAACATATAATGTTTGACACACCCCCATAGGCAAAGTGGGGGAGACCTAGGGGTCACAAGACCAGTCAAGGCAAAGCAAGGCAACAACAAGCTCAGGGTGGATCTCGAGGATTCCACACAAATTCCGAGCACAAGCTAGTGGTCACAAGACCAGTTCACATGCAGGTTTATAACAGAGCAAGAGATACAGTGATCACAACCTAGCAAGAGTAAACATGCAGGTATAGATATATATAGTGATCACAGTACAAGCAAAGTCAAGAGGTAAGTAAGTGAGGTCCAGTAGGCACAAGGCCTAGTAGAGTGCAGAAGCGCTGATGGTCACGAGGCTGAAGCGCCTTGGTGAACACATCAGCAGTGTTGGCCTCAGTGGCCACGTAGCGAATACAAAGCTGACCGCGCTGCTGCAGCTCACGAGCAAGGAAGTACCGCAGGGCGATGTGCTTCGTTCTGTGCTCCAGTCTGTGCTCCTCACACAAGGCAATGGCAGCCTTGTTGTCGACGTACAGGACTGGAGGAGAACGAGGCGGCTCTCCGAGGTCGGTCAGCAGGTAGGTCAGCCAGCGTAGCTCCTGGGCAGCCATGGCTGTAGCGTAGATCTCAGCCTCGCAACTGGAGCCGAGAACAGAAGAAGAGCGTGTAGAGCGCCAAGAAACTGAGCCAGAGCCAAGGCTGAAGGTGTAACCCTGAGACGACCGCTGAGTGGCCTGGTCGTCTGCCCAAGAAGCGTCTGAGTGCCCTGTGAGAACAACTCGGTCTCGTCCTCCAAGCACAAGCCCCATGCCCGACGTACTGCACAAGTAGCGCAACACCCTCTTAGCGGCATCCATGTGCTCCTTCCTGTGACGGCCAGGAGCGACATAGCGTGCAAGGATGCTAAGAGGGTATGCAAGGTCAGGTCGAGTGCAGGTCATCAGGTACATGAGGCAGCCCACAAGCTCTGGATACGGGCCACTCGGCTCTACGGACTCATCCGAAGGCAGAGCTGAGAGCGAGTGACCGGTAGGCAGAGGAGTGGACTGAGGCGAGGAGTACGTGAAGCCGAAGCGCTGGAGAACCTGCTGCACCATGTGTGACTGAGTCAGGGTGATGGTGCGCCATGCTCTGTCCCGGGTGATCCGCAAGCCAAGATAGCTTGTCAGCTCACCCAGGTCTGTGCACGTGTGTCTCCTCTGCAGCTCCGACTTCACGTGGGCGAGTGCCGCGGTGTCAGCAGTGGCAAAGACCAAGTCGTCAACGTACACGAGGATGTAGAACGGCGGTAGCGAGGTGTCGGTGCGTAGAAACAGCGACGGGTCAGCAGTAGAAGGAGCGAACCCAAGAGCCGCAAGTGTCGTCCTCAGTGTGTCGTGCCACTCACGTGGCGCCTGGCGGAGACCGTAGACCGGCCGCTGAAGCCTCCACTGGGTGCCAGGAGGAACTGACCCAGTGAAGCCAGGGGGGCGGCGCAGCCAGATCTCCTCGTGCAGGCTGCCCTGCAAGAAAGCAGTGCTGAAGTCAAGAGAGTGAAGCTCGTAGTCGCGGTGAGCGGCTATGTGCAGCAGCACCCGAAGAGTAGTCATCTTCGGGGTGGGGGAGAAGGTCTGAAAGAAGTCTACTCCCTCTCGCTGACTGAAGCCTCGAGCCACGTAGCGCGCCTTGAAGACAGGCGGAGAACCCGGCGGCCGCTTCACCCTGAAAATCCACATGCCACTGACGATGTTCGCCCCAGGAGGGGGAACCTCGTCGACGTAGGTGCCTGTGGACTTCCAGGAAGCCATCTCTGCGTCCATGGCTGTCTGCCACTGAGAGGAGTAGGGACCCGCCATCGCCTCAGCGTAAGAGCGTGGGGTCGGGATGTCTGGTGCATCCGGGTCTCCCTCAGGGGCAACTAGCAAGGACACGAGACGGGGCAAAGCAGCAGCAAGGCAGTGGAACTCCTCCTGTCTGTCCTCAAGGACGTCCGTGCCGAGGGCACACTCACCCCCGACGGACGGAGGACAGGCAGACGCAGACTCAGACTCAGCGACAAGGCTGGCAGCGTAGTCTAGGCGACAGCGAGCAGCAAAGTCAACCAACTCAGCGACCAGAGCAGACGCAGCAGAGGACTCAAAGGTCGGGTCAGTGACAACTGTAGCGAGGAGACGCGTAACAGTGGGACTGGCAGCACGACGGGAGTCAGACTCCGGGTCAGGAAGAGTAGGAAGAGAGGACGCAGGAGGAGACGGCAGCGGGACACGCTGCGGAGCAGTGGAGGGACGCAGAGTCATGTAGTGAGTGCCAGGGACAGGAGGAGGACGCTCACGTGGGACACGACGACCAGTGCGAGCAGTACGAACAGGCGACGCAGGACGAGACTCAGGCTCACGACGCTCTGTAAGACCTCCTGTGGGACCAGCGTAAGGAGAGGGAGCAGGGAGAGGCGAGGCAGGCGGTAACTGGGACTGCGGCTGGACAGGCAGAGGACACTCGACGGAGGGAGGAGGACTAGGAGGAGGAGCCTGACCAAGAACCTGCTGAAGGAGCGGTACGAAGTACGGTCGCGGCCGCGCAGCGTCTCCAGAAGCAGCAGGGACACCAGTGGCAGCCCCAACGCCCGAGTCCTCAGCACCAGCAGCAGCTCCAACGCCCGGGTCCACAGCACCAGTAGGAGCTCCAGCGCCCGAGTCCTCAGTACCAGCAGCAGCGCCACCGGTCGGGTCCTCAGCACCAGCAGTAGCTCCAACGCCCGGGTCCTCAGCACCAGCAGCAGCTCCAGCGTCCGGGTCCTCAGCACCAGCAACAGCACCACCGCTCGGGTCCTCAGCACCAGCAGCAGGGCCACCGGTCAGGTCCTCAGCACCAGCAGCAGCGCCACCGGTCGGGTCCTCAGCACCAGCAGCAGCTCCAACGCCCGGGTCCTCAGCACCAGCAGCAGCTCCAGCGTCCGGGTCCTCAGCACCAGCAACAGCACCACCGCTCGGGTCCGCAGCACCAGGAGCACCACTACGAAGACTGCAGCGCCGCGTGTACCACTCGCGGATCACCTGAATGGGGGGGAGCTCCTGGGAAGGAGGGGAAGTACCGGGACGAGCTCCAGAAGCACCTCTCCGGAGGCGGCAGTACTCGAGATACCTCTCCTGCAGCTGCTGGGAGGAGAGAGCTCCTCCAGGTGGAGCACGCTCAGGCTCAGCACCCCCAGACTCAGCACCCCCAGACTCAGTACCCCCAGACTCAGCACGTCCAGACTCAGCACCCCCAGGCTCAGTACCTCCAGGCTCCGCACCTCCAGGCTCAGCACCCCCAGGCTCCGCACCCCCAGACTCAGCACTCCCAGGCTCAGCACCCCCAGACGCAGCACCCCCAGGCTCAGCACCCCCAGACGCAGCACCCCCAGGCTCAGCACCCCGAGCAGGACGAGAGTCAACAGCTACCTCAACAGGCTCACCCGGGTCTACCTGGGACACACATGAGGGAGCGGCACCCTGAGGGGGGAGGGGGTCTGGTACCTCAGCACCTGGAGCGAGGAAGAGAGGCGGGGGGGGGAGCGGGGCAGTGCGGTAGGGGAAGAGGCGGTAGTAGGGGACGGACTCGTCAAAAGTGACGTCCTGAGAGGCCAGGACACGCCGCGAGGTGGGGTGGTAGAACTGCCAACCAGGGGCGTCCGGGACAAAGCCAAGGAAGACGCAGGGGACAGCGCGACGGGAGAGCTTGTCCGCGGACGTGTCGCGGACAAAAGCTCGGGATCCCCAGACCCGAAAACGCGACGCATCGCCAGCCTCTCCCGTCCAACGTAGTGTCGGAGAAGTCTCGGGCAAGGAGACACGGGGCCAGAGGTTGAGCTGATGCGCAGCGTATCGGACTGCAAACGGAAGCGTGTACGACTGCGCAATGCCCTCCTGCTGACAGAAGGCCTCCAATAGGCCAGAGGAGAACTCCCCACCTCTGTCAGAGTGCAGACGCAGGACAGGGAAGTCGGAGCGGAAACGCTCACGGAGCTGGAGACGAGATCTGCGGATCCAAGGGATCAAGACATCAGGGACGTCACCCTTGGCGCGCAAGGGGAAGACCGTGGTGTAGCGCGAGAAGTCGTCAACAAGAATCAGGAAGTACCTCTCCTGACCCTGACCACGGACGCGGGCTGGGCCCCACACGTCCATGTGGAGCGTCTGTAAGGGAGCAGTCGTCGGGGGAAAGGAGGAGGAGTGAGGAGCGGCGCGCTGCCGTCCCTCGACACAGGGAATACAGGGAGGAGCAGGCGAGTCGGGAAGGGGAGGGAGCACCCTGGGAAGACCAGCAACAAGGTCCCGCTGGTGCATGGCCCGAAGGCGCTGCACAGACGGGTGACCAAGGCGGTGGTGCCAAAGGACAGTCTCATGTGCCAGAGAGCGACACGAGCAGGGGGCGGACAGCTGACCTGACGCAGACGCAGACGCAGACGCAGCTACCTGAGGGGACACAGTGGTCAGTGTGTAAAGGTCCGACCCCGGCTCCCGAGTGAAGGTAGCCAGGTGGCGACCCGTCCGAGCACACGTGCAGTGTGTCACGCGCTCGTAGGCAGGGGTGAACTGGTGAACACCCCCGTCCTGGAGCGCACTACCTGCCACCAAGTTCGTAGAGAACGAGGGGAGGTAGAGACCTGACAGCGTGCCGGACGGGACCGCCGGACAAGGAAGGACAGTGGAGGAGGTCGCAATGACCGGACCCCCAGAGGGGTCAGCAAGGGAGACAGCAACTGGCCGAGCGAGGGGCTCAAGGACAGTGCGGTCACGAAAGAAAGAGCGAGAAGCACCGGAGTCCAGTGTGAAGGTGTGCAGTGCTGCAGTCGACTCAGTACCGGGGGGCACAGACGCACTAGCACCTAGGGCAGCAGCCTCACCAGGACCTGCGGGAGGGGACGCACTAGCACCTAGAGCGGCAGCCGGACTGGCCTGAATGCCCGGGTCGGGCGGAACACGCAAGTACTGAGCACCCTCTCCACTAATAGACATCGCATACATGGCAGTGAGAATAGCATCAAAGTCTAAAGCCCAAATATCAACGCCCCTCTTTTCCAGCTCAGGCCAGCGCGGCAGCTCAGTGGCAGTAGGAAACTGGGTGCGCCACGCGTCGGTAAGGCGGGCGAAGCAGCGCTGCGTGGGGTGCGGCCTCCCACACTGCTGGCCGCGGCGGTCACCTGTGCGAATGACGTACGTGCAGGTAAAGCCACGCTGCGCATACCACTCACGGGCGGCCTGAAGCGTCGGGGCGGACTGCTGACTCTGCCCTCCGCCAGTGCCCCCACGACTACCACCCCCTCCGCCTCCGCCCCGGCCACCTCCACCCCTGCCGCCACCACGACCACCTCCGCCTCCGCTGTCGCCTCCGCCCCTGCCACCACTCCCGCCGCTGCTGTCGCCTCCCCCACTACCGCCACTAGCCTCCTCAGCCGCGCCTCCACTCCCACCGCCTCCACCCCCACCTCCTCCGCCACCACCCCCACCCCTGCCCCCTTTGCCCCTGCGGCGCCCGCTCGAAGCAGACGCGGTCCCGACCTTCTCAGCACCAAGGAGGTCGACAGCAGCAGCAGAGGCGACAGAGGGGAGGAGGGGGGAAGGGGAACACCCCTCGAAGAACGGGGTGCGGGGGTCGCCACGAGAGGTGCCTACAGCGACGATGCTCGCCTCAGCTGCAAGCAGTTCCTTCTCGAGGAGGGCAACAGTGAGCTCAGTGGGGGAGCGAGAGAGGAAGTGGTCCCTGACTGCACGCAGAGAGTCAGGGAGGCGGGTGACGATGTGGTAGAGAGTGATCCAGAGCGGGGGGGGGGTTGCTAGTGAGAAACTCGGCAGGCATAGCAGCGCGAAAGCGGGCCTCACTAGTCTTAAGGTGGGTGATGAGGTCTGCGACAGTGTGAAAGGAGGCTAGGTCGGGGAACAGGTAGGGAAGAGTGAGGCGGCCTAGCGTAGCAGAAGCGGGTGAGGAGTAGCGGGCAACTACAGCGGTGTAGAGGTCCCTAGCTGTCTTGCACTGGCCAAAGTGCTCGCGCTCATCTAACGGCAGGGAGTTGCGGATGGCAAAGCGAGCGTGAGCGTCACGAGTCTGCCACTGTGAGCGGGTAGTGCTGTCAGCATCAGTAGCAGGGGCAGGAGCATGGCCGAGGGCGTGGTCATACAGGGAGATATCCTCCTTGGCAGTGAGCTGCAGGAAGAGGTGCAGGTCATCAAGCCAAGTATCAAACTTCACTGGGCGGCCCTCAGTATCGAAAGATAGTACAGGCGGGGTAGCCATAGTAGCAGTAGCAGTAAGTGAGTCCTAAACGCAGTGGGCAGCGCGACAGGGGTAGGGCGGCTAGGTCCAGAGAAGTTGCTCAGTGCGGGCGGCGCGGCTCGGTTCTGGCTGCTCGGCTCGGCTCGGACTGGGCGGCTCGGTTCGGGCGGCCTGTTGCTGGCGGGGCCGCGGCTGTCGCGTGCGGTGCGGGTAGGGGCGGCGGGTACAGCCGCTTTGGGGCGGCGTAAGCGGGGCCGTAAGTGGGGCGCGCGCGACGGGGCCGTAAGCGGGTCGACGGGGCCGTAAGCGGGGCCGTAAGCGGGGCCGTAAGCGGGGCGCGCGCGACGGGGCCGTAAGCGGGGCCGTAAGCGGGTCGACGGGGCCGTAAGCGGGGCCGTAAGCGGGGCCGTAAGCGGGGCCGTAAGCGGGGCCGTAAGCGGGGCCGTAAGCGGGTCGACGGGGCCGTAAGCGGGGCCGTAAGCGGGTCGACGGGGCCGTAAGCGGGGCCGTAAGCGGGGCCGTAAGCGGGGGCCGTAAACGGGGCCGTAAGCGGGGCCGTAAGCGGGTCGACGGGGCCGTAAGCGGGGCCGTAAGCGGGGCCGTAAGCGGGGCCGTAAGTGGGGGCCGTAAGCGGGGCCGTAAGCGGGGCCGTAAGCGGGTCGACGGGGCCTTAAGCGGGGCGCGCGCGGGTCGACGGGGCCAAACGGGGCCTCTAAGCGGGGCGCGCGCGGGTCGACGGGGCCAAACGGGGCCTCTAAGCGGGGCGCGCGCGGGTCAACGGGGCCAAACGGGGCCTCTAAGCGGGGCGCGCGCGGGGTCGACGGGTCAAGCGGGGCCGTAAGCGGGGCGCGTGCGGGTCGACGGGGCCAAACGGGGCCGTACACGAGGGCGCACTAGGGCGCTGAAAGGGGGAGGCGCTAACGCAGCACTCCGACAGTAGATAGGTAGGTAGGTATTCAGTGGTGGGCCCTAAGAACGGTCCTAGCGAAGGACCTGCTCTGAAACCATGTCAAAATAAGAGACTGGAATGACTGTACTAACAGAAGGATGGATACAAATAGGAAACCCTAATCCAGTGTACCCCCTAAGGTATCACCCACTACTGCCTACAATCATATAAACATATAATGTTTGACAGCTCGTGCACCAATCAAAGCCGGAATTGTCTTGGAAGGTGCGTCGGAAGATAGGCTACTCGGATTTGCAAAACGAATCTGGTAGTCGCACTCATTTTCCCACGCATAGGGTGATTATGTCGCATTTTTTTCGTATGGCGGCAAAATTTGGCGGTTTTGAGGGCGTCGAGCAATCGTTTGTGCATGAATCAAAGCCAGAATTGTCTTGGAAGGTGCGTTGGAAGATAGGCTACTCGGATTTGCAAAAAGAATCTGGTAGTCGCACTCATTTTCCCAAGCATAGGCCGATTATGTCGCATTTTTTTCGTATGGCGGCAAAATTTGGCGGTTTTGAGGGCGTCGAGCATTCGTTCGTGCACCAATCCAAGCCGGAATTGTCTTGGAAGGTGCGTCGGAAGATAGGCTACTCGGATTTGCAAAAAGAATCTGGTAGTCGCACGCATTTTCCCACGCATAGGGCGATTATGTCGCATTTTTTCCGTATGGCGGCAAATTTTGACGGTTTTGAGGGCGTCGAGCATTCGTTCGTGCACCAATCAAAGCCGGAATTGTCTTGGAAGGTGCGTCGGAAGATAGGCTACTCGGATTTGAAAAAACAATCTGGTAGTCACACTCTTTTTCCCACGCATAGGGTGATTATGTCGCATTTTTTTCGTATGGCGGCAAATTTTGGCGGTTTTGAGGGCGTCGAGCATTCGTTCATTCACGAATCAAAGCCGGAATTGTCTTGGAAGGTGCATTGCAAGATAGGCTACTCGGATTTGCAAAACGAATCTGGTAGTCGCACTCATTTTCCCACGCATAGGGTGATTATGTCGCATTTTTTTCGTATGGCGGCAAAATTTGGCGGTTTTGAGGGCGTCGAGCAATCGTTTGTGCATGAATCAAAGCCGGAATTGTCTTGGAAGGTGCGTTGGAAGATAGGCTACTCGGATTTGCAAAAAGAATCTGGTAGTCGCACGCATTTTCCCACGCATAGGGTGATTATGTCGCATTTTTTTCGTATGGCGGCAAATTTTGGCGGTTTTGAGGGCGTCGATGTTGAGATAGTAAGTAGAATCATGAGCCATAGCTAGGTAAACCCTAGCTAGGCAAGAGAGAAACGAGCAAAGGAGGGGTTGCACTAGCAACAATGGTGGTACAAATAGCTAACCCTAGAAGGGTTGTACTCGCTATAGAGCACCCCACTGCAGGCTAGAGCATAATATTCTGACACACCCCCATAGCCAAAGTGGGGTGTAATCAGCAGAGCAAGCAAAGCAGTACAAGCTCAGGGTGGATCACGATGTCACCACACATTCTGAGCACAATGAGGAGAAGCAATAGTTTAAAGTTCACAATTATGAGCAAAGCTAGAGGCAGTCACAGAGGGCAAGTGAGGAGGAGGAGGGCTGGCGAGAGGAGAGTAGATTAGGAGGCGACGACTGAAGCTGCAGACACACGGGCAACAGACGGCTCTGGTGCGACACAGTGGCTACCGGGAATGAGTGCCCCGGAGTACAGGAGTAACAGGCTCCGCGGCTAATACGCGCGGCAGGAGCAACGGACCCACAGGCGACGGCGCAACCGGCTCTCTGAGCTACCGGGAATGAGTGCCCCGGAGTACAGGCGCTGCGTACGACACGACGGCAACCTCCGCTCAACCTCCCCCAACAGTCCCACACCCCTCGACACACACCCCCTGCTTCAAACCCTAGCTCCACTCCCACGGTACCCCCCTTAAACCCCAAACCCTAGGCTCCCACACACCACCCCCCTCAGCGGCAGCTGTAGCAGAGGGAGACGAGGGAGGAGGAGGAGCAGGGGGAGTAACTCACAACCGACACCCCCATAGCCGCCACCCCCACACTCCTCACCCCCAAACCCTAAAACGGGCGGAACGGGGGAAGGAGCGCGGGGGACGGCGAGGGGGACGGCGCGCGGCCCCCAGGACGCCACCACGGGGCAGCGAGGGGTCGCGTGCGGCTCCCCAGGGCGGCGCGACGGGAAATCGGGGGCCGCGCGCGGCTCCCCAGGGCGTCGCGACCGTCGACGGGGCAGCGGGGGGTCGCGCGACGGGAAATCGGAGGCGCGCGGGGGTCTCCCATGGTAGGAAACCGCCGCGCGCCTCGGGGCGCACGGCGGACAGGAAACCGCATAATATTCTGACAGTCGAGCATTCGTTTTTGCACGAATCAAAGCAGGAATTGTCTTGGAAGGTGCGTTGGAAGATAGGCTACTCGGATTTGCAAAACGAATCTGGTAGTCGCACTCATTTTCCCACGCATAGGGCGATCATGTCGCATTTTTTTCGTATGGCGGCAAATTCTGGCAGTTTTGAGGGCGTCGAGCATTCGTTCGTGCACCAATCAAAGCCGGAATTGTCTTGGAAGGTGCGTCGGAAGATAGGCTACTCGGATTTGCAAAACGAATCTGGTAGTCGCACTCATTTTCCCACTCGTAGGGTGATTATGTCGCATTTTTTTCGTATGGCGGCAAATTTTGGCGGTTTTGAGGGCGTCGAGCATTCGTTTGTGCACGAATCAAAGCCGGAATTGTCTTGGAAGGTGCGTTGGAAGATAGGCTACTCGGATTTGCAAAACGAATCTGGTAGTCGCACTCATTTTCCCACGCATAGGGTGATTATGTCGCATTTTTTTCGTATGGCGGCAAATTTTGGCGGTTTTGAGGGCGTCGAGCATTCGTTCATTCACGAATCAAAGCCGGAATTGTCTTGGAAGGTGCGTTGGAAGATAGGCTACTCGGATTTGCAAAACGAATCTGGTAGTCGCACTCATTTTCCCACGCATAGGGTGATTATGTCGCATTTTTTTCGTATGGCGGCAAATTTTGGCGGTTTTGAGGGCGTCGAGCATTCGTTTGTGCACGAATCAAAGCCGGAATTGTCTTGGAAGGTGCGTTGGAAGATAGGCTACTCGGATTTGCAAAACGAATCTGGTAGTCGCACTCATTTTCCCACGCATAGGGTGATTATGTCGCATTTTTTTTTTCGTATGTCGGCAAAATTTGGCGGTTTTGAGGGCGTCGAGCAATCGTTTGTGCATGAATCAAAGCCTGAACTGTCTTGGAAGGTGCGTTGGAAGATAGGCTACTCGGATTTGCAAAAAGAATCTGGTAGTCGCACTCATTTTCCCAAGCATAGGCCGATTATGTCGCATTTTTTTTCGTATGGCGGCAAAATTTGGCGGTTTTGAGGGCGTCGAGCATTCGTTTGTGCACGAATCAAAGCCGGAATCGTTTTGGAAGTTGCGTCGGAAGATAGGCTACTCGGATTTGCAAAAAGAATCTGGTAGTCGCATGCATTTTCCCACGCATAGGGCGTTAATTTCGCATTTTTTTTTCCGTATGGCGGCAAATTTTGACGGTTTTGAGGGCGTCGAGCATTCGTTCGTGCACCAATCAAAGCCGGAATTGTCTTGGAAGGTGCATCGGAAGATAGGCTACTCGGATTTGCAAAAAGAATCTGGTAGTCGCACGCATTTTCCCATGCATAGGGCGATTATGTCGCATTTTTTTCGTATGGCGGCAAATTTTGGCGGTTTTGAGGGCGTCGATGTTGAGATAGTAAGTAGAATCATGAGCCATAGCTAGGTAAACCCTAGCTAGGCAAGAGAGAAACGAGCAAAGGAGGGGTTGCACTAGCAACAATGGTGGTACAAATAGCTAACCCTAGAAGGGTTGTACTCGCTATAGAGCACCCCACTGCAGGCTAGAGCATAATATTCTGACACACCCCCATAGCCAAAGTGGGGTGTAATCAGCAGAGCAAGCAAAGCAGTACAAGCTCAGGGTGGATCACGATGTCACCACACATTCTGAGCACAATGAGGAGAAGCAATAGTTTAAAGTTCACAATTATGAGCAAAGCTAGAGGCAGTCACAGAGGGCAAGTGAGGAGGAGGAGGGCTGGCGAGAGGAGAGTAGATTAGGAGGCGACGACTGAAGCTGCAGACACACGGGCAACAGACGGCTCTGGTGCGACACAGTGGCTACCGGGAATGAGTGCCCCGGAGTACAGGAGTAACAGGCTCCGCGGCTAATACGCGCGGCAGGAGCAACGGACCCACAGGCGACGGCGCAACCGGCTCTCTGAGCTACCGGGAATGAGTGCCCCGGAGTACAGGCACGACGGCAACCTCCGCTCAACCTCCCCCAACAGTCCCACACCCCTCGACACACACCCCCTGCTTCAAACCCTAGCTCCACTCCCACGGTACCCCCCTTAAACCCCAAACCCTAGGCTCCCACACACCACCCCCCTAGGCGGCAGCTGTAGCAGAAGGAGACGAGGGAGGAGGAGGAGCAGGGGGAGTAACTCACAACCGACACCCCCATAGCCGCCACCCCCACACTCCTCACCCCCAAACCCTAAAACGGGCGGAACGGGGGAAGGAGCGCGGGGGACGGCGAGGGGGACGGCGCGCGGCCCCCAGGACGCCACCACGGGGCAGCGAGGGGTCGCGTGCGGCTCCCCAGGGCGGCGCGACGGGAAATCGGGGGCCGCGCGCGGCTCCCCAGGGCGTCGCGACCGTCGACGGGGCAGCGGGGGGTCGCGCGACGGGAAATCGGAGGCGCGCGGGGGTCTCCCATGGTAGGAAACCGCCGCGCGCCTCGGGGCGCACGGCGGACAGGAAACCGCATAATATTCTGACAGTCGAGCATTCGTTTTTGCACGAATCAAAGCAGGAATTGTCTTGGAAGGTGCGTTGGAAGATAGGCTACTCGGATTTGCAAAACGAATCTGGTAGTCGCACTCATTTTCCCACGCATAGGGCGATCATGTCGCATTTTTTTCGTATGGCGGCAAATTCTGGCAGTTTTGAGGGCGTCGAGCATTCGTTCGTGCACCAATCAAAGCCGGAATTGTCTTGGAAGGTGCGTCGGAAGATAGGCTACTCGGATTTGCAAAACGAATCTGGTAGTCGCACTCATTTTCCCACTCGTAGGGTGATTATGTCGCATTTTTTTCGTATGGCGGCAAATTTTGGCGGTTTTGAGGGCGTCGAGCATTCGTTTGTGCACGAATCAAAGCCAGAATTGTCTTGGAAGGTGCGTTGGAAGATAGGCTACTCGGATTTGCAAAACGAATCTGGTAGTCGCACTCATTTTCCCACGCATAGGGTGATTATGTCGCATTTTTTTCGTATGGCGGCAAATTTTGGCGGTTTTGAGGGCGTCGAGCATTCGTTCATTCACGAATCAAAGCCGGAATTGTCTTGGAAGGTGCGTTGGAAGATAGGCTACTCGGATTTGCAAAACGAATCTGGTAGTCGCACTCATTTTCCCACGCATAGGGTGATTATGTCGCATTTTTTTCGTATGGCGGCAAATTTTGGCGGTTTTGAGGGCGTCGAGCATTCGTTTGTGCACGAATCAAAGCCGGAATTGTCTTGGAAGGTGCGTTGGAAGATAGGCTACTCGGATTTGCAAAACGAATCTGGTAGTCGCACTCATTTTCCCACGCATAGGGTGATTATGTCGCATTTTTTTTTTCGTATGTCGGCAAAATTTGGCGGTTTTGAGGGCGTCGAGCAATCGTTTGTGCATGAATCAAAGCCTGAACTGTCTTGGAAGGTGCGTTGGAAGATAGGCTACTCGGATTTGCAAAAAGAATCTGGTAGTCGCACTCATTTTCCCAAGCATAGGCCGATTATGTCGCATTTTTTTCGTATGGCGGCAAAATTTGGCGGTTTTGAGGGCGTCGAGCATTCGTTTGTGCACGAATCAAAGCCGGAATCGTTTTGGAAGTTGCGTCGGAAGATAGGCTACTCGGATTTGCAAAAAGAATCTGGTAGTCGCATGCATTTTCCCACGCATAGGGCGTTAATTTCGCATTTTTTCCGTATGGCGGCAAATTTTGACGGTTTTGAGGGCGTCGAGCATTCGTTCGTGCACCAATCAAAGCCGGAATTGTCTTGGAAGGTGCATCGGAAGATAGGCTACTCGGATTTGCAAAACGAATCTGGTAGTCGCACTCATTTTCCCACGCATAGGGTGATTATGTCGCATTTTTTTCGTATTACCTCGTCGACGTAGGTGCGTGTGGACTTCCAGGAAGCCATCTCTGCGTCCATGGCTGTCTGCCACTGAGAGGAGTAGGGACCCGCCATCGCCTCAGCGTAAGTGCGCGGGGTCGGGATGTCTGGTGCATCCGGGTCTCCCTCAGGGGCAACTAGCATGGACACGAGGTGGGGCAAAGCAGCAGCAAAGCACTGGAACTCCTCCTGTCTGTCCTCAAGGACGTCCGTGCCAAGAGCACACACACCCCCGACGGACGGAGGACAGACAGACTCAGACTCACCAACAAGGCTAGTGGCGTAGTCTAGACGACAGTGGGCAGCAAAGTCTATCAACTCAGCGACTAGAGCAGACGCAGCAGAGGACTCAAAGGTAGGGTCAGTGACAACAGTAGCGAGGAGACGGGTGACAGTGGGACTGGCAGCACGACGGGAGTCAGACTCCGGGTCAGGAAGAGTAGGCAGAGAGGAAGCAGGAGGAGACGGTAGCGGGACACGCTGAGGAGCAGTGGAGGGACGCAGAGTCATGTAGTGAGTGCCAGGGACAGGAGGAGGACGCTCACGTGGGACACGACGACCAGTGCGAGCAGTACGAACAGGCGACGCAGGACGAGACTCAGGCTCACGACGCTCTGTAAGACCTCCTGTGGGACCAGCGTAAGGAGAGGGAGCAGGGAGAGGCGAGGCAGGCGGGAACTGTGACTGCGGCTGGACAGGCGGAGGACACTCTAAGGAGGGAGGAGGACAAGGAGGAGGAGTCTGCCCAAGAACCTGCTGAAGGAGCGGTACGAAGTACGGTCGCGGCCGCTCAGCGCCTCCAGAACCAGCAGAGACACCAGTGGCAGGGTCCTCAGTACCAGCAGCAGCTCCAACGTCCGGGTCCTCAGCACCAGCAGCAGCTCCACCGGCCGGGACCTCAGCACCAGCAGCAGCTCCACCGCCCGGGTCCTCAGCTTTAGCAGCAGCTCCAACGCCCGGGTCCTCAGCACCAGTAGCAGCTCCACCGTCCGGGTCCTCAGCACCAGCAGCAGCTCCACCACTCGAGTCCTCAGCACCAGCAGCAGCGCCACCGCTCGGGTCCTCAGCACCAGTAGCAGCTCCAACGCCCGGGTCCTCAGTACCAGCAGCAGTGCTACCCCCAGGGTCCGCAGCACCCGGAGCACCACTCCGAAGACTGCAGCGTCGCGTGTACCACTCTCGGATCTGCTGAATGGGGGGGAGCTCCTGGGTAGGAGGGGAAGTACCGGGACGAGCTCCAGCAGCACCTCTCCGGAGGCGGCAGTACTCGAGGTACCTCTCCTGCAGCTGCTGGGAGGAGAGGGCTCCTCCAGGTGTAGCACGCTCAGTCTCAGTACCCCCAGACTCAGCACCCCCAGACTCCGCACCCCCAGGCTCAGCACCTCCAGGCTCCACACCTCCAGGGTCCGCACCTCCAGGCTCAACACCCCCAGGCTCCGCACCTCCAAGCTCAACACCCCCAGGCTCCGCACCTCCAGGCTCAACACCCCCAGGCTCAGCACCCCCATAATCAGCACCCCCAGACTGAGCACCCAAAGGCTCAGGTCCCTAGACGCAGGACGAGAGTCAACAGCTACCTCGACAGGCTCACCCGGGTCTACCTGGGACACACCTGAGGGAGCGGCACCCTGAGGGGGGAGGGGGTCTGGTACCTCAGCACCTGGAGCGAGGAAGAGAGGCGGGGGGGGGAGCGGGGCAGTGCGGTAGGGGAAGAGGCGGTAGTAGGGGACGGACTCGTCAAAAGTGACGTCCTGAGAGGCCAGGACACGACGCGAGGTGGGGTGGTAGAACTGCCAACCAGGGGCGTCCGGGACAAAGCCAAGGAAGACGCAGGGGACAGCGCGACGGGAGAGCTTGTCCGCGGACGTGTCGCGGACAAAAGCTCGGGATCCCCAGACCCGAAAACGCGACGCATCGCCGGCCTCTCCCGTCCAACGCAGTGTCGGAGAAGTCTCGGGCAAGGAGACACGGGGCCAGAGGTTGAGCTGATGCGCAGCGTATCGGACTGCAAACGGCCACAGAAAGTGGGGGGCAGCCGCATGAACCAAGGAGGTACGAGCGACCTCCATGACCAAGCCAATGCGGCGCTCAGCAACCCCATTCTGCTGTGGAGAGGCTGGAAGCGTGAACGACTGCTCAATGCCCTCCTGCTGACAGAAGGCCTCCAAGAGGCCAGAGGAAAACTCTCCACCTCTGTCAGAGTGCAGACGCAGGACAGGGAAGTCGGAGCGGAAACGCTCACTGAGCTGGAGACGAGATCTGCGGATCCAAGGGATCAAGACATCAGGGACGTCACCCTTGGTGCGCAAGGGGAAGACCGTGGTGTAGCGCGAGAAGTCGTCAACAACAATCAGGAAGTACCTCTCCTGACCCTGACCACGGACGCGGGCTGGGCCCCACACGTCCATGTGGAGCGTCTGCAAAGGAGCAGTCGTCGGGGGAAAGGAGGAGGAGTGAGGAGCGGCGCGCTGCCGCCCCTCGACACAGGGAAGACAGGGAGGAGCAGGCGAGTCGGGAAGGGGAGGGAGCACCCTGGGAAGACCAGTAACAAGGTCCCGTTTGTGCATGGCCCGAAGGCGCTGCACAGACGGGTGACCAAGGCGGTGGTGCCAAAGGACAGTCTCATGCGCCAGAGAGCGACACGAGCAGGGGGCGGACAGCTGACCTGACGCAGACGCAGACGTAGACGCAGACGCAGCTACCTGAGGGGACTCAGTGGTCAGTGTGTACAGGTCCGACCCCGGCTCTCGAGTGAAAGTAGCCAGGTGGCGACCCGTCCGAGCACACGTGCAGTGTGTCACGCACTCGTAGGCAGGGGTGAACTGGTGAACACCCGAGTCCTGGAGCGCACAACCCGCCACCAAGTTCGTAGAGAACGAGGGGAGGTAGAGACCTGACAGCGTGCCGGACGGGACCGCAGGACAAGGAAGGACAGTGGAGGAGGTCGCAATGACCGGACCCCCAGAGGGGTCAGCAAGGGAGACAGCAACTGGCCGAGCGAGTGGCTCAAGGACAGTACGGTCACGAAAGAAAGAGCGAGAAGCACCTGAGTCCAGGGTGAAGGTGTGCAGTGCTGCAGTCGACTCAGTACCAGGGGGCACAGACGCACTAGCACCTAGAGCAGCAGCCTCACCAGGACCTGTGGGAGCGGACGCACGAGCACCTAGAGCGGCGGCCGGACTGGCCTGAATGCCCGGGTCGGGCGGAACACGCAAGTACTGAGCACCCTCTCCACTAATAGACATCGCATACATGGCAGTGAGAATAGCATCAAAGTCTAGAGCCCAAATATCAACACCCCTCTTTTCCAGGTCAGCCCAGCGCGGCAGCTCAGTGGCAGCAGGAAACTGGGTGCGCCACGCGTCGGTAAGGCGCGCGAAGCAGCGCTGCATGGGGTGCGGCCTCCCACACTGCTGGCCGCTGCGGTCACCTGTGCGAATGACGTACGTGCAGGTAAAGCCACGCTGCGCATACCACTCACGGGCGGCCTGAAGCGTCGGGGCGGGCTGCTGACTCTGCCCTCCGCCAGTGCCTCCACGACCACCACCCCCACCGCCTCCGCCCCGGCCACCTCCACCCCTGCCGCCACCACGACCACCTCCGCCCCCGCTGCCGCCTCCGCCCCTGCCACCACTCCCGCCGCTGCTGTCTCCTCCCCCACTGCCGCCACTGGCCTCCTCAGCCGCGCCTCCACTCCCACCGCCTCCACCCCCACCTCCTCCGCCGCCACCCCCACCCCTGCCTCCCTTGTTCCTGCGGCGCCCGCTCGAAGCAGACGCGGTCCCGACCTTCTCAGCACCAAGGAGGTCGACAGCAGCAGCAGAGGCGACAGAGGGGAGGAGGGGGGAAGGGGAACACCCCTCAAAGAACGGGGTGCGGGGGTCGCCACGAGAGGTGCCTACAGCGACGATACTCGCCTCAGCTGCAAGCAGTTCCTTCTCGAGGAGGGCAACAGTGAGCTCAGTGGGGGAGCGAGAGAGGAAATGGTCCCTGACTGCGCGTAGAGAGTCAGGGAGGCGAGTGACGATGTGGTAGAGAGTGATCCAGAGCGGGGGGGGTTGCTAGTGAGAAACTCGGCAGGCATAGCAGCACGAAAGCGGGCCTCACTAGTCTTAAGGTGGGTGATGAGGTCTGCGACAGTGTGAAAGGAGGCTAGGTCGGGGAACAGGTAGGGGAGAGTGAGGCGGCCTAGCGTGGCAGAAGCGGGTGAGGAGTAGCGGGCAACTACAGCTGTGTAGAGGTCCTTAGCAGTCTTGCACTGGCCGAAGTGCTCGCGCTCGTCTAGCGGCAGGGAGTTGCGAATAGCAAAGCGAGCGTGCGCATCACGGGTCTGCCACTGGGAACGCAGAGTGCTGTCAGCAGACGAGTCAGGGGCAGTGGCATGGCCTAGGGCGTGGTCGTACAGTGAGATATCTTCCTTGGCAGTGAGCTGTAGGAACAGGTGCAGGTCATCTAGCCAGGTTTCGAACTTCACTGGACGGCCCTCGGCATCGAAAGCTAGAACGGGAGGACTAGCCATAGCGACAGTAGCAGTAGCAGTAGTAACAGTAGTAGTAGGAATCAGGCCGCTGGAAAGGTGTGCGGAGGGTCAACGGGGCCGGCGGGGCCGCTAGGTAAGGCGCGGGCGGGGTCGACTGTCCGTAGTGGCACACGAGCGGCAGTAGTAGGTAGCGTGGCAGCAGGAGCTGCAACGGCGCACTGGTGGCAGCTGCAGTGGCAGCAGTGTGCGCGGTAGGTAGAAAATAAAAACTGTGAGAGTGAGTGCCTCGCGGGCGGCGGCTGCAGAAGCGCACAGGCGGCAGCGGCGCACGGGCAGCGGCGGCGCACTGGCAGCGGGAGCACAAGCAGCAGCGGAAGCAGCGGCGTACGAGCGGCTGCGGGCAGCAAGGCGTGCGCGAGCAGGCGACGGGCGGCTGCGGGGCGTGCGCGAGCAGGCGACGGGCGGCTGCGGGGCGTGCGTGAGTAGGCGACGGGGCCGCGGGGCCGCGAAGTGGGGCGCGAGCGGTGCGCGGGCAGTGCGCGGGCGGTGCGCAGGCGGTGCGCAGGTTGCACGGGCTTAGCGCGGGCTGCGTAAGCGGTGCACGGGGCGGCAGCGGGCCTGAAGGGGCGATCGCGGGGCCGACTAGGTCGCTAAGGGGCGAGCGGCGGGTCGATCGCGGGGCCGACGGGGCCGTACGAGGCGGTGCGCGGGGCCGTAAGGGGCGGTGCGCGGGGCCGTAAGGGGCGGTGCGCGGGGCCGTAAGGGGCGAGCGCGGGGCCGTAAGGGGCGAGGCCTTAAGGGGCGGCGCGGCGGGGCCGTAAGGGGCGAACGCGGGGCCGACGGGGCTTAAGGGGCGGCGCGACGGGGCCTTAAGGGGCGGGTCGCGGGTCGCTAGTGCTTAGGGGCCGAGAAAAAAAAAGTCGAGGCGCCCTAGGTAGGTAGGTAGGTAGGGAGTTAGGTAGCGAAGGGCCCTAAAAAAAAAAACGGTCCTAGCGAAGGACCTGCTCTGAAACCATGTCGAAATAACAGACTGGAATGGTGAACTAGAAAGGACTGTGAGTACAAATATGAAACCCTAATGTTGTGACCCCCCTATAGGCTAACCCACTACAGCCTACACAAATATAACATATACAATGTTTGACAGTTTGTGCACGAATCAAAGCCGGAATTGTCTTGGAAGGTGCGTTGGAAGATAGGCTACTCGGATTTGCAAAAAGAATCTGGTAGTCGCATGCATTTTCCCAAGCATAGGCCGATTATGTCGCATTTTTTTCGTATGGCGGCAAAATTTGGCGGTATTCAGGGCGTTGAGCATTTGTTCGTGCACCAATCCAAGCCGAAATTGTCTTGGAATGTGTGTCGGAAGATAGGCTACTCGGATTTGCAAAAAGAATCTGGTAGTCGCACTCATGTTCCCATGCATAGGGTAATTATGTCGCATTTTTTTCGTATGGCGGCAAATTTTGGCGGTTTTGAGGGCGTCGAGCATTCGTTTGTGCACGAATCAAAGCTGGAATTTTCTTGGAAGGTGCGTTGGAAGATAGGCTACTCGGATTTGCAAAACGAATCTGGTAGTCGCACTCATTTTCCCACGCATAGGGTGATTATGTCGCATTTTTTTCGTATGGCGGCAAATTTTGGCGGTTTTGAGGGCGTCGAGCATTCGTTCATTCACGAATCAAAGCCGGAATTGTCTTGGAAGGTGCGTTGGAAGATAGGCTACTCGGATTTGCAAAACGAATCTGGTAGTCGCACTCATTTTCCCACGCATAGGGTGATTATGTCGCATTTTTTTCGTATGGCGGCAAAATTTGGCGGTTTTGAGGGCGTCGAGCAATCGTTTGTGCATGAATCAAAGCCGGAATTGTCTTGGAAGGTGCGTTGGAAGATAGGCTACTCGGATTTGCAAAACGAATCTGGTAGTCGCACTCATTTTCCCACGCATAGGGTGATTATGTTGCGGAGATAACTCTAGCAACGGGAGCTTGACTACGGGGAAGGCACGTGCGTGAGAGGTAGCTCACTTTGTCGTTTCCTTGTGCGCACACTACTTGCTAGTTCATGGGGTGCTGAACCGATGGGTGCAAGAACAAGAGCCTAGCGTGTGCAAAATTGCAAGAACAAGGGTCTAGCGTGTGCAAAATAGCTAGAACAAGGGCCCAGCGTGTGCAAAATTGAAAGAACAAGAGCCTAGCGTGTGCAAAATGGCAAGTACAAGGGCCTAGCGTGTGCAAAATTGCAAGAACAAGGGCATAGCGTGTGCAAAATTGCAAGAACAAGGGCATAGCGTGTGCAAAATTGCAAGAACAAGGGCCTAGCGTCTGCAAAATTGCAAGAACAAGGGCCTAGCGTCTGCAAAATTGCAAGAACAAGGGCCTAGCGTCTGCAAAATTGCAAGAACAAGGGCCTAGCGTCTGCAAAAATTCAAGAACAAGGGCCTAGCATCTGCAAAAAATCAAGAACAAGGGCCAAGCGTCTGCAAAAATTCAAGAACAAGGGCCTAGCGTCTGCAAAATTGCAAGAACAAGGGCCTAGCGTCTGGAAAAATTCAAGAACAAGAGCCTAGCGTCTGCAAAAATTCAAGAACGAGGGCCTAGCGTCTGCAAAATTGCAAGAACAAGGGCCTAGCGTCTGCAAAATTTCAAGAACAAGGGCCTAGCATCTGCAAAAAATCAAGAACAAGGGCCTAGCATCTGCAAAAATTCAAGAACGAGGGCCTAGCGTCTGCAAAAATGCAAGAACAAGGGCCTAGCGTCTGCAAAAATTCAAGAACAAGGGCCTAGCGTCTGCAAATTTGCAAGAACAAGGACCTAGCGTCTGCAAAATTGCAAGAACAAGGGCCTATCGTCTGCAAAAATTCAGGAACAAGGGCCTAGCGTCTGCAAAAATTCAAGAACAAGGACCTAGCGTCTGCAAAATTGCAAGAACAAGAGCCTAGCGTCTGCAAAAATACAAGAACAAGGGCCTAGCGTCTGCAAAAATTTAAGAACAAGGGCCTAGCGTCTGCAAAATTGCAAGAACAAGGGCCTAGCGTTTGCAAAATTGCAAGAATAAGGGCCTAGCGTCTGCAAAAATTCAAGAACAAGGGCCTAGCGTCTGAAAAATTTCAAGAACAAGGGCCTAGCGTCTGCAAAATTTCAAGAACAAGAGCCTAGCGTCTGCAAAAATTCAAGAACAAGGGCCTAGAGTCTGCAAAAATTCAAGAACAAGGGCCTAGTGTCTGCAAAATTGCAAGAACAAGGGCCTAGCATCTGCAAAATTTCAAGAACAAGAGCCTAGCGTCTGCAAAAATTCAAGAACGAGGGCCTAGCGTCTGCAAAATTGCAAGAACAAGGGCCTAGCATCTGCAAAAATTCAAGAACAAGGGCCTAGCATCTGCAAAAAATCAAGAACAAGGGCCTAGTGTCTGCAAAAATTCAAGAACAAGGGCCTAGTGTCTGCAAAATTGCAAGAACAAGGGCCTAGCATCTGCAAAAATTCAAGAACAAGAGCCTAGCGTCTGCAAAAATTCAAGAACGAGGGCCTAGCGTCTGCAAAATTGCAAGAACAAGGGCCTAGCATCTGCAAAAATTCAAGAACAAGGGCCTAGCATCTGCAAAAAATCAAGAACAAGGGCCTAGCGTCTGCAAAAATTCAAGAACGAGGGCCTAGCATCTGCAAAATTGCAAGAACAAGGGCCTAGCGTCTGCAAAAAATCAAGAACAAGGGCCTAGCGTCTGCAAAATTGAAGAACAAGGGCCTAGCGTCTGCAAAAATTCAAGAACAAGGGCCTAGCGCCTGCAAAAATTCAAGAACAAGGGCCTACCGTCTGCAAAATTTCAAGAACAAGGGCCTAGCGTCTGCAAAAATTCAAGAACAAGGGCCTAGCGTCTGCAAAAATTCAAGAACAAGGGCCTAGCGTCTGCAAAAATTCAAGAACGAGGGCCTAGCGTCTGCAAAATTGCAAGAACAAGGGCCTAGCGTCTGCAAACATTCAAGAACAAGGGCCTAGCATCTGCAAAAAATCAAGAACAAGGGCCTAGCGTCTGCAAAAATTCAAGAAAAAGGGCCTAGCGTATGCAAAATTGCAAGAACAAGGGCCTAGCGTCTGCAAAAAATCAAGAACAAGGGCCTAGCGTCTGCAAAATTGAAGAACAAGGGCCTAACGTCTGCAAAAATTCAAGAACAAGGGCCTAGCGCCTGCAAAAATTCAAGAACAAGGGCCTAGCGTCTGCAAAAATTCAAGAACAAGGGCCTAGCGTCTGCAAAACTTCAAGAACAAGGGCCTAGCGTCTGCAAAATTGCAAGAACAAGGGCCTAGCATCTGCAAAAATTGAAGAACAAGGGCCTAGCGTCTGCAAAAATTCAAGAACAAGGGCCTAGCGTGTGCAAAAATTCAAGAACAAGGGCCTAGCGTCTGCAAAATTGCAAGAACAAGGGCCTAGCGTCTGCAAAAATTCAAGAACAAGGGCCTAGTATCTGCAAAAAATCAAGAACAAGGGCCTAGCATCTGCAAAAATTCAAGAACAAGAGCCTAGTGTCTACAAATTTGCAAGAACAAGGGCCTAGCGTCTGCAAAAATTCAAGAACAAGGGCCTAGTGTCTGCAAAATTGCAAGAACAAGGGCCTAGTGTTTGCAAAAATTCAAGAACAAGAGCCTAGCGTCTGCAAAAATTCAAGAACGAGGGCCTAGCGTCTTCAAAATTGCAAGAACAAGGGCCTAGCTTCTGCAAAAATTCAAGAACAAGGGCCTAGCATCTGCAAAAAATCAAGAACAAGGGCCTAGCGTCTGCAAAAATTCAAGAACAAGGGCCTAGTGTCTGCAAAATTGCAAGAACAAGGGCCTAGTGTCTGCAAAAATTCAAGAACAAGAGCCTAGCGTCTGCAAAAATTCAAGAACGAGGGCCTAGCGTCTGCAAAATTGCAAGAATAAGGGCCTAGCATCTGCAAAAATTCAAGAACAAGGGCCTAGCATCTGCAAAAAATCAAGAACAAGGGCCTAGCGTCTGCAAACATTCAAGAACAAGGGCCTAGCATCTGCAAAAAATCAAGAACAA